TAATTTATTGAAATGGGTTTATTTTTTGATCTGAATAAAATTGCTTTAGTCTTTATTGTGTTTACCTTGAGACTGTTAGTATCAGACCAAAATGCAAATTTGGTAAGAGTAGAATTGGCTTGGCATAACAGTGTATCAGCATCGGCCGCAGAGAAAAACGTACTCGTATCGTCCGCATATATAACGAACTGCACTTGGTGATTGATGTTTACTAGGTCATTGATGCATACGTTAAATAGAAAAGGTCCAAGTATGCTTCCCTACGATACACCGCAAAGAACACTTTGGAAAGAAGAGAAAAAACCGTCAATAGCTACAGACTGTTTCCTATTTGTTAAATACGAGTGAAGTAAGGCAAGTTTTACACCGCGGACACCATATCGACTAAGTTTCATAAGTAGTACTGTATGATTTAGGACATCAAACGCTTTACTGAAATCAATGAACACACCTAAAGTAATCAACCTTTTTTCTATATTTTGTAATATAATTTACTTTTGATATAACAGGGCAGCTTCCGTAGATTTGCCTTTGCGAAAGCCATACTGATAGTCTGTTAATGTAGAATGTTAAAAAAAGTGATCGAGGCGCGTAAGAATAATCTTTTTGAGTACCTTAGAGAAGACAAATAACACAGATATCGGCCTATAGTTATTCATAACATGCTTATCGCCTCCTTTATGCACAACAGTGACTTTAGCCAACTTCATGTTTGCGGGAAACTGACCAGATGATAATGATAAGTTGTATATGTATGCTAAGTGTGGGGGGCAATTATATCCATTACACTCTCAAGAAAAAAGGGTGCCAAAAGTTGTATTCTTACACCCTTTGTCCCATATAATACACCTCAGAATTTCAATTCGACGTACAGTGCCCTACAATCAAGCGGAGGGCCCGAAACTTTACGAGGGGCTTGATAGCCGTGTGGTACAACATTCTAAATAGCTAAAGTGCGCACCAAAGACCACAAAAAGAAAACACTGAGTTTTTACAGTGGAGCCAAGAAAACCCTGATTATTTTTTTTACAGTCAGTAAAACGTACATTAGCTATTTTAATAAGTTGTACCACACGGCTATCAAGCCCCTCGTAAAATTTCGGGCCGTCTGTTTGACTATAGGGTGCTGTACGGTCGAATTGATGTTTTGGGGTGTATTATATGGGACAAAGGGTGTAAGAATACGCCTTTTGACACCCTTTTTTCTTGAGAGTGTACAAATTGAACTGGCTTTATTTGTAATTTATCAATGTCAATACTTTTGCTGTTTTTTAGTCCTAGAAAGATGTTAAACACCTCTACTTCGTCAGTTCGATTGAGAAAAAACGTATCATTAGTATGTTTTACAGAAGAGAGGACATTTTCATTATTTACGTTGGCCTGTGGATTGGGTTGTGCATTGGAATACTTAGCATTAAAATGTTCCGCCAAACGTGCACCTGACATGTTACGGCCGTCTATAGTTAAGTCGCCAATAGAATGGAAAACCTTTCTACGATTTAAAACGTCATTAATAATTTTCCACACGACGTCAGGGCGCTGTTTAGTAGCCTTATGAAACTTTTGCTTATGATATGATGATTTTGCCTTTCTAAGTTAACATGTCAATTCGTTCCTAAGTTTTTTTAAACATGACAGTTTATTTTTTGATCCCTCGTCTTTAAAAACGTTTCATATAAGCGAGTTTTCTTGCTCATCATTTTTTATGTGTTCTGGGGTTACCCAAGGTTTTCTTATTTTTTTTCGCTCGTGGTTACAGTTTTAAACGGAAAATGTAGGGCATAAAGTGCTTTAAAAATATTTAAGAATTCATTATATGCATCATTCACATCTAATTTAAAGAAAACCGATGTCCAATCACAGTTGAATACTGCATTTCTAAATGCGAGTAGGCAATCATTAGTCATTTCCTGGTAGGTTACAGAAGATTTAGCAGCGCCTTTGTATATGTCATGATTATGTAAAGTGTAAAAGATTGGAATATGATCGCTTATGTCGCAGCTTATAGTTCCGGTTACTTTGACGTTGGTTGTAATATTGGTAATAAAAAGGTAAATTACACTTGATGTGGATGCAGTAATTCTAGTGGGAGACGTGATATCATTACGGAACCCGTTAGAGTACAGCATATTATTGAGTGCCTTAGTTTGGAAAGAGTCCTATAGTAAATTAACGTTGAGATCACCCCCTAGGACCAGAGAGTAGTCATTTGCTGATACATAGTCTAGAAAGCGCTCAAGAAAAGAAATGAACATTTCAAAATTCGCCGAAGGTGGGCAGCTCTTATATTAGCCACATAGCTTAAGGTTTGGATCTCATAATCACTTGTAGTTTCAATAAAATATCTAGGAGCTCACATTTAATTGAAAATTTTACGTGAATTTGGAGACACCACCGCCACGTTTATGCTTACGGTTTGAAAAGAAATGTGTGTAATCCGGCAGAACGAGCATATCAGCATCATGCTGATACCAGGTTTCCGTGAACATTATCATATCGAATGATACGCAGCAGTGATCCAGAAATGATATAATAGAGTCATGTTTATTTGTTGCAGAACGCGTGTTCAAGTGAAAGATATGGGTAGAATTTTGGGAGGATAAGAACTGACTTAGTTCTTCCGGCAACACAAGTTCGACGTAGTCCATAAAAAAAAAATAAAGAAAAAATGGAAAAGACTATACAAGACAGCGTAGCTAAACTAACAGATTTTTCCTACGTCAGCCTCATTGTTAATCTGAACAAGTGGGGTCCTCTCTGCTTGACGAGCAAAAATCTTGCCATATCGAACCCAGACATACTTCCAATTACATTGATGTTTTTTGGCAATTGCTTTTCCGAGAACCCACTTCAGAAATGGGCATAGGTGTTCGTTCACGAACACTGGGGCATCCGTGTCAAGGCCAAGATCCGAGTTCTTAATGCGCTTCTTTTTGCCTTATCAAGGACGGCATCACGCTTGCTGCGTAATGCCGTCATTAGTTAAACTAAAAAAAAAGAAGCTCCAGTGCCATTTCTACGCTACAGTTAAAGAATGTAGCGCATCACTGGCAAGCGTGCAGACATAAGCTGAAGCGCAAGCTGTCCATCATCAAACCGGCACGTTCCTATGATGTACAGTGGTAATCACACTTGTCTATAACGCGCGAGCGTGCGGCTTTCTCCGTGGAGCGCTAGACTGGTGGCATTCGCAGAAACGAAGCTAGTCACGTGGCGCAACATAGAACGGCCCGCTCGAGGGGTGTCCTGCCCACTCTATCAGCAGGCGGCTGACGCGGAAGACTGTTCGCACGCTTTTTACAAACATCATTGATCGAACAATAAACAGACTAAAGCATGAAGGCGTATCAACGATGTCGTCATCAAAAAACCAAAAATATACAATAAAGCACTTTATTTTTATCGCTTATCAAGCTGATAGAGTGGGCAGGACACCCCTCGAGCGGGCCGTTCCATGTTGCGCCACGTGACCAGCCTATTTTTCGCGAATTCCACCAGTCTAGCGCTCCCCGGAAAAAAGCCGCACTCTCGCGCGTTATAGACAAGTGTGATTACCACTGTACATCAAGAACACATTTCTTTGGAGCAAATCTGAGCAACATTACTTACATTAGAAAAATGCCTGAGATCCTTTATTTCTATGGCGTTTAATATTTACTTTAGTACGACAAATCACACAAGCTTGATCATGTTGAGAAAAAATGGGGAGGAGAGATTATGTTGAGCACAGATTATACCGGCTTACGCTCAATATATTCTGCACATTTTGTAACGTGTTGCCTTGTTTTCACACCGTTCGCCCGCTCACATCATTAGGGAGTTTTAGCGAGTCGTTTTTCAAGCACACGGTTCCGAAATCACGAACGGTACAGCTGATCCGTTCCGTGAAACCGTACGTCCAATTTGACATACTTTAGCGAATCGTGAAAGTGGCGCGACCGTGTAAACGATGATGATGATCTTGCTTAACGGTGGCGCCATCTTCTAGTAAACATGTGAAGCATTCTGCAACGTGCAAATCAGTGGCGAAGGTGGCGGACACCGTGGTGGCAGCTCGTGTTTCCGGCGTACGACTGATGTAAACAAGACAGCCGACGTAACATTTGCCGGTCGGAATTTCAAGAACTGCGAAGCTAGATACCCCTACAAAAATATGTATAGACGTCCTATGTCCATACTTTTGCCGTTCTATTATCTCTTTGTCCATCCTATGGATTCCTGTAGACAGTTCTTAGACCGTCTATTTACCATTGGTTTGCCACAGAATGGACACAAAAACGCTATTAGCCCCGAGCGGGACCGATTGGAGCGCCGCGATCGCTCGACCGTGACGTAGGACTGGGGATCACGTGACAAGGCAAGCTAATTTCTGGTATTCCGTCTTGCTTTGCTTTGGTCGGTTTGGCTCTGTAATGTAGCGCGTAGCCGCAGGAATCGTTCGCCCAGTATTGTTTTACTGTTATTCGCGCTTGAAGGTTCGGCGTCGGGAACGTTCTAGCTCACGGAGCGATGGTAGGGTACTGTTCCGTACCGCAATGCCGGAGCTACGCGACCGATCCAGGCGTCAGTTTCCACGTGTATCCCAAGGAGAGACGGCTGCGGGATGAGTGGCTTGTGAAGCTGAGAATGGGGAAATTAAACTCGAAGAGTTCGACAGTGTGTAGCAAGCACTTTCAAGATGAAGACTTTGAGTACGCAGTTGGATGGCAGGTGTTCGGTAAGTGCTCTGAAGTTTTTTTCGTGAACCTACCCCCCACGGTGTTGGTGGAAGATCGACGCTCGCCCGCATTTTGTGCGTAAAGATTAGCGACGAGTACAAGAAGTTGCCACAGTGGGCAATGCCGCAAATTCGTGCATCTCAACGTGATTTGTTTTCACAAAACAGGACATATGAAAGACGTGTTTTGTAAACACGTATTTTTTTCGCTGCTGAGTTAGCACCATGCTCGAACTGGACCGTGACTGATGTTTGTTGCGTTCGCTTTTGACAGGCTGGAAAAAAAGGAGACTCGCCGCGGGAACCGTGCCGTCTCAGAATCTACCTGTACGGCCACTTGACAAGCCTCTGAAGCAGCGAGCAAGTTCGAATAGAAGCAAACATCGGAGTGAGTGCTCGCGCTTGTATGGTACATATCGAATCGTGACCATCGGATGCTGCGTTAAGCAGGCATTAAAGTTTTGCCTACAGCATACATGTTTACCGTTTCTGCAGAGTGGCATCACAAGTTAGAACACAGTGATGCGTCTTAGATGACTTGCTCTGCAATTATGTAACACTAAGAAGTTTTCTCTTCATGGTTCCAACAGCAGACGATGACCTGCCTGCAGCAATCGCCTTATCAGAACTGAACCCACCAAGCAGCTCCGAACAAGCCAGCAGCAAACAGAGTACGCTTGAATCAGGCACACTTGACGAGAGTGCAGATGCTGCAGACACCGAAGGTGAAGAGAGTTAATATTGCCTGCCTACAATGTAGGAATTGTGTCAACATGATTTTAGTTTACACCGAAGTTGTTTTGAACGTTCCAGATCTTGAAGCTGAACTGAGCAGCCTGAGGGAAGAAATTGGTGTTCAAGCCGACACCCTGCAACTTGAAAGAGATCAAGTGCTGGGAATCGCAAGGGTCAAGGACGAGAAGGCCCTCACGACACTTACCTGTGTACCCTGTTTCCAGTTGTTCTACAACCTGACTGACCTCTATGGCGAGTCCCGAATGTTGGGCAAAAGAAAAGACTTTTGCATCAGTAATGAGGATGCCGTGTTACTTACAATGATGAAGCTGTACCATAACATGACGTTCTCACTTCTTGGCGTCCTGTTCGGTATCCATCGCACGACCGCTTCAAACATATTCAAAGCGTCGGTGCCAATTCTGGCTGCAGTACTGCGACACGCCATTTTCTGGCCGGAGAAGGAAGCGGTTTTGCAGTCCCTGACTAAGTACTTCAACAAGTACAGAGACTGCCGCATGGTGCTCGATTGCACGGAAATTCCTCTCCAAAGGCCTAAGAACATGGAGTCTCAGCTTCTGACCTACAGCCACTACAAAGGGACTCACACTGCAAAGGTGCTTGTGTGCGAGACACCAGGTGGCCTCATTAGCTATGTTAGTCCGGCCTATTGTGGCAGATCATCAGACACTCACATTACAAAGGAAAGTGGGCTTTTGGAAAAATGCCTACCTTTCATTGACAGTGTCATGGTCGACAAGGGGTTTTTGATTGATGAGCTGTGTTCTGAACACAAGGTGAAACTGATTCGCCCGCCATTCCTTCGTAAAAAGGAACAGCTCAGCATGCAGGACGCCAAGAGCAACCAGAATATAGCAGCCGCACGTGTCCATGTTGAACGTGCCATTCAGCGCATGAAGCTGTTCAGAATTCTCCGCGACAATTTCAGCACAGACCTGCTCCCGCAATTTGATGACATTGTCGCTATCATTGCAGGGCTTGTAAACCTTTCGAAGCCCCTGTTTAAAGACAGCAGATATTTAAGCACTTAAGGGGACGTCGGGCAGGGTAACATAGCTTTTCTAAATGCATTTGAATGTGTCCCCCCCAGATTACGGGCTATAAAAAGCTTTTCTAGTTTTATGTTATGTTAGCTCAGTTTTTAAGAATGTTTCAGATGAAATAAATAAAAATATTGTATCACTGACTAGTACATGTATTTTCTGCACTTTTTTATTTACCAGCTTCCAAGCATGCAGTACTCACAATTGCAAAAACATCTCGGCCTTCCAGCTTTCACATGAAAGTCAATCACTTCAACCACAAAATACAATTGCATTGCACTTGCCATTCACTAACCCACTACCACGAGTAGTATTCCGACAAACCCTTCAGGGTTGCAAAGAGATATCTCTCGTACACCTCATAAACAGCAGCTGCACACTTGTTAAAGTGTGCAGCGTCGAAGGGCACAGTAAGTGCCCTCCAGTTCTCACCACCCCCATAAACAAAAAAGTCGCAAACTGCAATGTTAGTAATCCCCATCTGTACTTGGATTTGTGTGTAGAAGGGGGCCGTTGGCTTGCCTTTTGAGAATGCATTCGCCACCTGACGAGGGCACTTTATCTCGAGAACACGTTTCTTTCCCTCGCAGCATTCACAGGTGAATGTAACTATCCCATCTGGGCTACAGCCCATCAGGGGAAACTGGTCCCAAACTAACAAGCCTCTGTTTGAGACAATGCACGTGTGGCCCTGTGATTCAAGGATCTGAACGTATTTCTTTCTTGCATCCGGTTCCATCATGATTCCGCGCCGCATGTCAGCCGACTGAAATGTGCTTGTGCAAAGAACTGAGTTCAGTATGGGCCCCAGGTTGTGTGGCATGGGCTCCTTCTTCAGCTTCTCTGCTTTTGTTTTGAAAGAATAGCAACGTGTGCTTGTTGCCATACCCATTCTGTGCATCAACCAGTCGTTAGAATGTGATTGTTGCCGTGTCCTCTCCTCGATTGCTGCACAAACATCAGCAGAGAAAGTTGCCCTCATCTCCTCTACAAATTCACCGAGGTTAGACGAAGTTGTAGTCGCAATCAGCCGCGTGAGTGTTGGCAGCCTGGGGGCAGGAGGCTCCCCGCTTGCGGCTGGGGCAGCTGCGTTTTCTGCAAAGAGACAAGCAAACGGGAAAAGAATTCCTTCATGCATCAAACACTTAGGATTACAATCTTTTAGCCTCATATTTCTGAAATATCAAAGATGTTGAATCCGTTTGGTATTTGTGTTAGAGTCGATTTACACTTACAATGTGTTAAAAAATGTGAGAGATAAAGTTCAGCACCTTTAGCGAGCGTCTTGTTGGGTGGAGAGCCAATGATATGTATAACTAACTAAAATTCATGAACCAAAATTTTGTTAGTTTGTTACGTCCAACAAAATATTGGACATAGGAGCGAATTTCCTAGGTCAACTTGGGCAGGGAGGCAGTGCACGTGGCTCCACCGCACACGGTAATTTAGGTCATGAAGCGTAGATTGTACTAGGAGACGTTCCTGTTTCGTTGATACATGATTTTCTTCTAAGTCAGCTGTCATTGCACCAGACAATAGCGCTTTCAACTGCTATTTGCCAGTCGGACCATCACAATAAGTTCACATTTTTACACCTGTAGGCATACTCTCCTGTCGCTAATGCCTTGTTTGTAGTGCCCGTCTAAGAACCTTGACAGACAGTGACGATAATTGTCTCACCTCGGGCCACCACGAGAAGGAACCCCTTTCTCCCGGATAATCTCTTTTGTGTGTCCCAGAAGACGCTACTGTCCCTCTACAAGATTATAGAAGATTAACCCGTCACTCAAAACTCGTACAAAAGCAGCCGCTTCGGTGGCTGGAACGACTATGATATCCTCTCGACCCTCGCCGCAGCTGCGCTCGTCTTGAGACGGAGTACGTCACGATTGCGGGGGATGTCACATCCTCTCCCCTGGCTGCTCTCCGAGCGCTTGCCAGAGTGGGCCGTTTATAACGAAGAATACAGCCACCAGGCTCAAAATACAAGTGCGTGATTGTCATTTACGGATATTGTGGATCATATTCAACCTATTTTTGAACACAACAGGTATATTTCAAATTTCGTTGGAAGTATCCCTTTAATGCTTGGGTAATTTAGTGAAACCTCTTTGGAGAGTCAAATCTCTGGCCAACTTGATACTCTAAAATTTAGCAAAAGGTTTATTAAAAATTAATACCCAATTGAAATTTGAAGCAGAAACAATTACGAAAAGCAAGAGTGCCCATTTTTGAATGGCAGGCAGTTAGTGGTACAACTGTTGTCTGTCCGCTCAGCTGCAGGTGAGGCTGCTATCAGTGACGAAAGGCACCCCGCAATTCCTAGTCATTGGTGTCGGAGCGATTTGATGCAATATCTTGAATTTTTATCAAGACTGCGCAGGAAATGTCACATGGTACGAAATAGTGTGTGTAGCTAGTTCAGTTGCTGAAAGGGAAATGTTTATGAACTAACCAAGGGGGCGGATTTCCTCAGTGTGCCTCTGAGCAGCTGACCGATAAGGCAGTCCCTCCAGCAGCCGTCCCAGGAGATCACCCCTGGGAAGTGGAACAGGATCCCTCTTCACCTGCAAAAAAAAAAAGAAGAAAAGTTCCATATTCTGCTAGAGATTGTTGCACTTCCTGTGACTGCTATCTAGGATAATGGATATTATGTATTCTGTTTCGTAGCAGCTTGGCTTGATTGCATAAACAAGTTTAGGGAATTGTTTTTAGAGAAAATGACAACCTGCAATGCTTAGTTCATCGAATTTTAGCTTTGGGTTCCTATATTCTGACATCTAATGGAACGTTAAAGTGGAATCAACTATCACTTTCATGACTGAAAGACGTCTTGGACATTGCCCTTGTCTCACTGACATGATCGTTCCTCACAAGGACCCTTTGCAGAGCCACAACTGAGGGAAATAGCAAACAAAACGAAGAGACAGCCAAGGAGGTGGCGATGTTTCACAAAAGTGTGCTTGTGAACAATATTTGTGAGACATCCTTGTTATGTACTACAAACAAGTGCCTGTTGGGGCATCTCTTTACAATGTACAGTTACCACTTGCTATCCCTAACAGCAGCTACATGTCAGCCATCTGTTATGCATTGTTGTTCAATTAAAAAATGTTCTTATGTTTCCGACAAACATAATAATCTTGTGTGAAATTAGGAACAAAAAGAGTATGTTTTGGGCATAACTCTCGGTACAAACTTGTTGTTTTGACAAGCACGACTTGCTTAAACAGCCTTACAGATATTTTTCTTTACTGCTGCACACCTCTGGCATGAGCCTTCGGTCTCTCTGGTGTCACCAGCATCCCTACATAAGTGGGAATAAATATTATCATTATCAATACACCACACACTTTGCTATGTCATCTCCAGATATGACTTCTTAAAAAAAATAAACATTGAGAGGAATGGAAAGCTGTTTAGTTGCACAGGTGAGCAAGAATAACCTTACAATTTGGCTGCAATGCAATTTCGGCAAGTCACCAATCATTATCCTGACAACTCGCAGAGGAATGGCATCAAAAATGCTGGGTCCTTGGGCACAAAATACGACAGGCATGCGAAAGAGATGTTGACATGAATGACGAGCAAAAAGGTGGCGAATACACAGGGGAACTAAATGCTTAATGGGGCAAACTTGTGCCAAAAGCAAAAGGGGCAAACTTGTGCCAAAAGCAAAAGGGGAAAACTGATGTTGATATCAGCATAACCGTAGAGTCGAGCGGGACTGAGTTTTCGGCGGCAGTGAATGGCTTTTTTCATACACTCGTGTTGGTCGCAAACAATCTGTGCTAGAACAATCGACAAAATTCTAAATAACTATGGAATCTTCTCATAAAGGCGCGCACAGCAAGATGACAACTGGTGCGGGGATCAAACTCCGCCAACGGCGCGGGAACCCTGCATGCTGTCGATTAGGTCACATACATAGCAATGTGAACTATACAGGTGCCACACGACACCGCTTTCCCACTGCAAATAATGCACATTTGGAAACAATATTCCTGGTCAGAAAGCGACTGCTATGAGCTTCATCTGCTCTTCTATGTGTGGCATCACTGTCGTATAGTATTATAACACTTCTTTAGAAATACAAGGATGGCAATCCAACCTCCGAACTTTTATTGGCTTTTTGAACTTGGCCTTGTATCTATGTACTAGGCCTTTTGCAACAATCCTGAAAGGTCACATTAGGTGTGCAGCGATGCATGTATTTGGGCTAGGCGCGGAAGCACACACGGGTGAAAACACTAAGAGGGAGGACAAGAACATCATATCTGTGTGCTTCTTTGTTCCTGTCCTCAGTCTTTTAGTGCTGTGTTCACCAAAGTATGTACATGAGGCACGGAAGAAAAATGTATGGAGGGTCGTTTGCCGTGTATCGTGTGCGTGTTCGCGGCGCATAGCGAACACGACCTTTGGCTCAGGCAACGGCGGGCTGACGGGCTGAAGTAACCGGAGACGCCGGCGGGCGAGCGAGACGAGAAGAATGTGACGCCTAGTTAGGGTGTGACTTCGACATAAAGTATATGTCGACTGATAAGAACCTAGTCGCAGACATGCTGTCGAGACTTCCAATGACTGACAAGCGCGCTACAAAATCACAAACTACAAGAATGGACGAAATCAAATGCCTCCATCTAGAAAAGTTTTAAGCACTACCACTACCACTGGCACATAAGCAGATCAGCAGAGACACGAAAGGACACAGTGTTGTCTAAAGTTTTAAGACTCACCATGGATGGATGGCCGGAACTAGTGAATTCCGAAGACCTCGAGCCTACCTTCCATCGCAGAACAGAACTAACCGTGGAGCTCGACTGCTTAATGTGGGGAACACGCGTCATCGTACCCTCAAGCTACCAAAAACACGTTTTGAACGACTTGCATCAAGGTCATGCGGGAATGACAAAGATGAAGGGACTGGCACGACACTACGTGTGGTGGCCGCTTTTGGGTCATGACATCGAAACGATGGTCAGAGGTTGTCGGCCGTGCCAGGAAGTGAGCAATGAGGCACCCAAGGTTCCCAT